TATATATATATGTACCGGTTGAAGTGGTTGGAATCAAGGGGCACGGACAATACCGAAGGCCTACTACAGTTATGTGCCGACCACAGACTGTTTCTGTCTAGTACTAAATTCAAAAATCCTTCGCCCTTCGTATGCAACCCAAACTCCAACAAAAAACCACATCGCTATCAGCTATAGGTGGCGTGGGTCAGTACCTAGTCGTCCCTTGTTCTGAAATGCCTACGTGGATTAGGATCACGCGCTTCTTCGTGGCTTTTCAGCAGCCCGCAAGATGCACAGAGCCCGCCTGGCCATTGAGAAGCTCTCGGACCCTGATTTGAGGTCAACCGAGCAAAACCACCTACTGAAATCTCTTTCGTATTGTACGTCTTCTGATTTTGACTGTCAATTGAAAGCACTGTTTTCAACCCTGAAAAATGCGGAGCGATCCGCTTGTGGGACAGCGGAACCAACTTGATCTAGACACTGAGTCTCAAGCGACACTAAAATTGCCTGAAGTTCGGGTACGAACTCGACCTGGTGGAGAATACAGAATTACTCGAGGGACTGTCAGAATTCAGGTCAAGAAGAGCATTTTGCTGGATTGAGAAGCTCTGTGGATTCAAAAAGCTGTGAAGGAGAAAGGACGTGTGTTAACTATCACACTAGATACGCGCACAAGGGCCGAAAGGGTGCCCCGATGGGCAGAAGTCTCAAAAAATAAAATAAAAGCATTTGATTCCGCAATCGTTACCGAGCTGCTGGTTGTGATGAAATCCTACCCACTGTACTCGAAAATAAAAGTGAAAATCGCAGTGGGTGCTTGTCGAACCTATTTGTCTCTGAGAAAAAGAGGTTAGCCCAACCAAACGGGTTGAGTCGATAGAGGTGCCCATTTTTACAAAGGGTGCTCGCAGTGGGCGTGACGATAACAGAGGAATTAGTAACTCACTACATCTCAAAGGACACATGTATCGGACTACGGTTGGAGCTGTAATGTTGTACGGCTGTGAGATTTGGACACTGGGTGGAGAATATGAGACGTATCCAGGTCTTCGACCGCCTACCGCTGAAAGTGGCTGGAATCAGTGGACTTTCAATGAGTGAACAGGAAAAGTGTCGTTGGCTAAGCCAAAGGTGTTTCACTCAAGGGATGCGAACAGATCAGCTGTCACCTGATTAACATCCAATTAATCCGAACGAGCTACCAATATTTAGACGCATTTCTAAGAGTTCGCATCCGTCCAGAAGAGTGTTGTTTTCCGTGCATAATTTGGAGTGGTGAAAACCTTGAGGTTCATGGAATTTGATATGACAGAGGGCGTTGAAGAATGTTACGAAATGTTTGGGTACCGTTAAACTTCCAGGACTGAGTCCACGTGTCCCTCTTTATGTTTGACTGGAGACACCAAGCAATATGACGGCTAAGTGATGTCAGAAGCATCCATCCTGTCAGTTTCTATCCAGATTATTTGAACTGAGTTTCGGAGGTGTAGGCTAGTACTAGGTCCCCCTCCCTGTCCTGTTCTTTCTTCCCATTGTGAGGCTTTATTGAAGTAATTTGACATGTTTGTACAACAGTGAAGAACCAATGTTTTCATTTAGTGTTACTGTCAATGAAGGGGATAATGTGCATCCGAGACACTGAAATAAGTATAAAAAAAATACTCAAACGACATTATTGGACAAGTGCCACAAACTGAATGAAAGTCAAACCAATCACACGGGAAGAACCTATGACCAAAAATCTAGCATAATGTAAATCAAAACACTCACTCGAACGGCCAAATCTGACAAGAACGCCGAGTAGAAGTTGAACTCCTCGGTAGTGAATGACATATTTGCTGAAGGAAGTGCTAATGGTTCTGTCACCGCTGTACGTCTTGCCTGGAAGATATGAGTGATCCACCGCAACCCGTAATGCACATATGATCGCGTCCGTTCTAAAAGCGACCAAGTTGCTGAACCAGAGGTCGTTGCCGGATACTACAGGATAAGAGAAGGAGCCACAGATCAGTATTCACGTAGGAAAGGCTTACGGGACTCAAATGAAAAGTCCCTCGTAAAAAGGAAGGGATACGTAAGAAAACGTGTTCAGCACGTGTCCCCCTTGAGCAATCAACCAAAGAGTTCCCTGTCATAACCACAGGGCGAAGTTATTGTGAACACGTTTGACCAGAAGCTGATACAAGACACACTGTCCCCTTTCCGTGGGGCCTCATCAAAATGTTCCCTTCAGGGGGTGGTCCATATTTGACGAAATCTATGAAATCTCAGTCTCATACAACTGGAACTTTACTCATAAGCTCAATTTGTCATACTTTACATGATATATCATTATCTGAACAATATGCAATACATGTATGTTACCTTCTTCACGTGACCACGTTTGAATCATGATTTCCACACAACGGGCATTGAACAAAGGACTCCACTAGAGACCTAACCGCCAAATTTGTTGGCACACTCACCAACTGAGGTCCGCAGTCTGTAACCATTCCTGTGACACTAAATTCAGTCTCTGATTTTTGCACCTTAATACTTAAACTTCCTTTGAGCTGTTCCACTAGTCGTCAACAGATGTATTTCCAGGTAAAGAACAGTACTTGTGACTAATGGAAAATGTAGTTTGATACACGAGTGTTGTTATACTGATCAGTTGTCACATTCCCATATTCGAACAAAATCAAACAAAAGATTAAATCTGTGGCTTCATTCATCTTGGATGATGCTGTGACCTGGAATTCCAATCAATGACAGAAATACACTAGTAATACACACTGTGCTCAACTGTGAAGTGATAATCGTTAACAGATTAGGGTTGACTCAGCAGTGATAGGTGACTGGACTGAACCATCTTCATTTGGGAATAAGAACACCTTGTTTCTCACGTCTAAGGACGTGGGATATTATATTGTATCACTGGCAATAATTGAGCCTCCACTAAGTCGTTGCGTTGACGTTCATAGGGCTAAGTAAGAAAACCAGATAAACTACCATTAGGCCAACGGTGTTTGACGGATGCCACGATCCGTTGCGCCAAATGTATGCCAAGAGAACAACCCCTTGTTTGGAAAGTTCGGTTTTCAAACTCATTCGACAACATCGAGTCCGCGGCGGACGTATTGGCTCTCTATATCTAAACAGGAATTACGACATGCTACAGTGCGTTCACATTTACCGACCAGTGAAAAAAAGATTATCTCTGTTGTGAAGTAATAAAATAGGAATAGCGAAAGCTTAGTACCTTTTGGGGGTTGCAATGTACCTATCAATTCCACGAGAAAGTTCATGGAAGTAGGATGAGATAGTTCCCATATGAAGGAAAGACCCGTTTAAGGCGGTATAAATCGAGGGGGGAAATGTATTTGTGAAAAAAGCAACATCAGTTAACTATCAAAGTTGGGCACGTCGTACCTAAAGAGCCGAGTGGCTCGAAGGAGACACACGTTCCAGAGTTGTGTGGACCCCAGTGAAACCTAGCAAATTGCGGTTAGCAGCGGCGGTTCTTTTTGTTTGTTACGATATTATCAGATTACTGGGTCCTTAGTCAAAAGTAGGGCACCAGGACAAAACTCCAGACATTGTATAGTGAATGAAACTTTGGAATCGGGAGCCCATGTGTAAAAAAATCCTGCAGTTAGGAAAAGAGGGAAGTAAACTTGACCCTCAAAGCAATTTGTCTGTCTGACTCCAAAAGCACAAGCAAAATCAGGGATGCCTTCTATAGAATACATTCTCTGATAAAATGGATGTAGACGCAAAGAATATCGAGGGTATCCATAGTGAACAACACGAGAATCAGTGCTTACGGCAAAAGATTCGGAAGGATTGTCCGTGGCTATAAATGCTGGATGATCATTCATTTGTTTGATGGTTACCGACTGGCACGTCTCATCAGGATGTTGTGTAGTCCTTCGTGAACGCCTCAATAAGTACGCGCTGCAGAAATAACGTGAACAGAATGAACAACAGTAGAGAAAATACCAAAAACAGGGAAATGGCATTAATGCTATACAGCCAAAATCCCATCCGTCTCAACAACTGACTTCGTTAGCTGAAAAATCCTTCGATATGAAAAATTATAAAGTTTACCGTGGGAAGATGGTGCAATAAGCTGCGGCTACATTGAGACATTCACAGTATACTCCAACCACACTAACCCGTGGAAAGTGATGAATGAGAAGTACTGAGGAGGTAATGGAACAACCTCTTCCAGAAAACATAGCTCATTGGGCATTGTGTAAGACTTAATCAGTGGGATCGATCGATGCGAACACGGCTAAAGATAATGATGACAAGTCATGCACACAACATATACGATCGTATGCCCACCACTGGGAGTGGTTGCATACCATGTTCTGTACGGTTGGCAATCCCTTTAATTTGATCCTGGAGGATGCAACGACCTTGGGTAATAGGACGACTAAGCAGTCTCCTACCAACTTAGGGTTTGTAAGTGATACCCTAGATGTTTTCGTGAGCGAAATCTAAGCCCACAGGAAAAGAGAATACGGCTTTGCAGAAGACGAAATAAAGCAAGTAGATTAGCAGTTGGTTTAAACACACCATCAAAGTCCGATGGGTCAGCCAAGATGTCCAAATGCAAAATAGACAGTAACACAAACAGCTAGGTTGAACTCCAAATCGCAGATCAAACATAACCTCCAGACTCAAAGCACACAGCTGCAATCACACAATCATTGTGAGAGGATGTCAAACAGCGAGGAGCAAAAATTTTTTTAAACTAACCTCCATAATACACATACGGCGGAGCTGACCTTCGCAACAGCTGCAATCAAAATAAACGCAAAAATGATCAATACGGAAAACGGAAATAAAAAACATACAACATTAATAAGGTCAAAGGATTCGAAGTAGACGTAATACGGAAACATGGATGGCAATCAGCAATGGTAGCTTGAATTTTTGCATTGCGAAATCGAAAGCAGGCTGACAATGACTGTTCTCAGTGTTTCAAAGTACTCGAGTCACACCACAGGTTAAAGTTAGGTTGGCTGGAACGATTAAGATGACAGATCGATCACGGATAGGTCAATGGTTTGCAAGTAGGGCTTCAGATAAGTCGGTCATTTTTGCATAGCATACGTTTGCAGTAAATGGACAGTAGGCCGAATCCGCTTAGATGGATGTTTACTCATGAAGTTGAAGGATACAGCAAATAATATTGGAATCCCCGTAAACGTCCTCCGATAGATTCGTGACGCTTTTTCTGAAGGTGCTAAGCACTAGAGAATGGATTATACAGAGAGGGAATGCAAGTGTGATGTTTCGACAGACTTATTGCGGGCATCAGTATATTAACCGAAGGTAGCCTTGGTATTTGTCCGGCGACGATACAAAAATAAAACAAAGGGTCTTCAAAAAACGAATAGACTAGTGAACATCGAAATAAGCAAGTGACACAAACATTTATAGGCGTCTGGAATATAAACAAGATGTCTAAAAAATTTGAAATCGTAAAATAACTTCGACCTACTGAATAAATATCTTGTCATACGCACAGGCGACGGATGCGGATAGGATCAACCCATCTACCTGAAAGAGTAACAGAGGTAGTGTACGTAGGTGTGGACAGCATAATGCTTTAGACGCATGAAAAGAAATTTGCATACAACGCATAGCACTGGAGCCATTGGAAGATGCTTAAAAAGGCTCGCAACAGGCACATAAACACGCACAACAGATTGGTACATCTTTGCAAAGGATACCTTTAGACACTAATAAAACGCCGGGTTCCTTTCAGTCCCATTCTTACCAATAGGTCCATTCTCAAAGAAAAAACGCTTGGAAAAAGTCAGCTTGGGCGAATAATGCATAGTATGGTTTGTTTTGGCCATCCAAATTTTCAAACATAAACATAGGCCGACTCGACAACCTTTATGAGTAAGCTGGCAGCTAGATACTCGACGTTTAGTAGATGACCCGACAGTTGAATAACCAAGACTCATTTACCCGTGCCATCTCACTGTTTCTGTTCAATCGGACTTCCGATCTGAAAAACCCTAGGTGACACTGAAATCCTCGATGGATGCGTTTTCTCGTCCCCGATGAGCTCCCAGTCGTTGTGATCAGGAATGAAGATGGTATGCTCAGTTGGTGTTTCACTTATTTCTATAGGAAAGTCAGCCCATAGGACTGAAGTCGATACGTAAGTGTGCGTTTCGCAGCAAATACATCAGCCACAAGGTCCGCTTGGGATCTTCTAAAAGAAGGCTCTTCGATGTACTACGGCTGTATACCGACAGCTGTATATACCGACAGCCACGATTCCGACAACTATGGGAAAAGGGAATGCGTCGCTTACCAGGGAGCAACCGCTTAGTTGAGATTATGTTCAGTCTGTTCATGTCATTAACGAACAAACCGATACTTGAGATTCTAGTCTGCAGTAGCACCGACATCGCCACAGAAATTGTGCTTTATGTATGAAAAACTGACGTCCGTTGGATACAATTAACATGAAGGTATGAACCTGAACAAGTGGTATACAGACGACACAACTGTCACTCAATCAAGCAGATACACAACTAGCAGGCTAGACCCAAAAACAACCGTGGCCCATTTCACTGTCTCTCATTTCACTACACGTATTAAAGACAGTCATTTCAGATATGGAACTTGAGTCGCGACCATTGTTTCAGAGGAACAATGTCGGTTGATGTAACGTTAAATTAGTGTGGAAGCGAAAGCGGGTGGTTGTCCTGCCTGATTCGGCTAGAACAATAAGGATATCTTAATGGATCGGGTGCTCCTTCCCGTTTGTACGACAGCTGTGCATCGGAAGGGTGCCACATCTGAACGGTCATCATTATCACCTGGCGACTAATATAGGTGTCTGAGGCTAACGGTGGTATAGAGCAAAAGTTACCCGACTGGGGGCGTCCAGCGGCAGCTGATGCGGGTTAAGTTTCTGAGAGGGTTTCTGAGTGGCCCTGTCACGTTATTCAAGCTGAGACACAAGGATAATTATGGCCGACAGGCAAGGTCTTTGACCCACATGTCTGGTGGCAGGGTGGCTAGTAGGGATCGTCATCGCATCACATTAGTACGAACTTTCGGAGAACAACACATTTTATTTGTTCCAAGCTCATACTTGGAGAAACAACGAATCGTTGGACACCCATACACTGAATAGTCTAGCAGTAATAAGTAACAAAGCCAAACATAGTAGCTCGGTGGGTATGAAACACGATCCGTCTCGCACTGAAAACCTTCCGTCTCTTCGCTCATCCGAAGAAACAATACAAATATTAGGTGAGCATCTGAGTCAGTTTAATCCGACCTTGGTAGGCTTGCATATTAAACCGCTATAAACTTACATCCCTACTGTGTACGGAAATGCGGTCCTCAACCAGATACATCATGTAGTGTTGTGATGTCATCGGTGTTATTCGTTTGAGTTTTCGGTGGACTGAGTGACGGGTGCTAAATATTCCCATGAAAATTCAGTTTGCACAATTAGGCAACAAACCTATCCTGGCTATTTTCATGATGCATTTTCTCGAGGCAACTCAAGTAGGACCTTATGTTTCCATCAAATCCAAAGTTCCATGGTCTTCCACTAGGGTCTTGCACTCAAAACACTCGTTTTAACCTCCTTGCTTCTAAGCCACGTTTCAAGTAATACAACTAGTCCTCTCTAGAAATCCGCGATATTGGCTAATGAAGAACAGTGGTGCCAACAAATGGAAAATATTGTTAATCTGTAAGTGCTGTTTACCCGATTCACCGGTCTCTGCTGGTCAGTATACGTTAATTTTAAAGTGAATATAAACCTAGCAATGTTGTGGAATGTAGGTAGCTCGGGTGCGCTGTTTGGTTGTTGGTCTGTTCGCCGAGCTTGGCAGTTGGATTGCAAACGTTTCATCACCAATCGAGGTGACATCGTCAGTGCAGGGTTGAGTGGGTGGATTCCTCCTCTTCTGCCTGTGATTATATAGCTTCTAAACAGTATTTGGTAGTTCTGGAGACGGTCGTCGTGTAGTTTGATTGGTCTTCTGTGAATCTCACGTGGTTTCAACCTCCTGTGTCTGGTTGGTTCGTTGGGTGCATTCAATTCGGCAGTTCTGTATGTGGTTGTCATGCTGTGATTCGGTCGTTTCCTCCTTGCTTTGTTGGGTCGGTTTTGTTCATTTGATTGGCCTTCTGTTTTTCGTGATTGTCTTCCTTTGACCCAATTAGTCCGTTGGTTGCCGTTAGGTTTCTTAGCTCCGAGTCCCGTGACCGTGTGGTTGTTTCGCTCGTAACGGCTGATAGAATGGGTCAATGTCGATGTGTTTATTGATCGATTTTTGTGTGGAGTACCACGCCTCGGCAAATTCTCGCTCCCGTTTTGTTCGTGCGTGAGCGAGTATTTGAACATTGTCCCAATTGAACGTGTGTCCTTCTCTGTCTTCGTGGATTGAGACGAGTGACATTGGGTCATGTCTTCTAGTGGCAAGCTTGTGTTCGTGTATTCTCGTAGCAAGTTTTCTTCCCGTTTGGCCAACATAATGTTTGTCGCAGTCGTTGCATTCAAGTTTGTAGACCACGTTAGTCTTCTTCAAAGCATCCAAACTTCCCTTTGGTTTCGAGAAGGTTCTTCTCAACGTGTTTGTAGGCTTAAAGGCGACTGCAATTCCATGTTGCCGTAGGTCTCGTGCAGTCATCTCCGCCACGTTTCTGATATACAGCAGCGTAATCTTCCTATGTTCCGGTTGTGTTGACGGATCAGCTTGGTGTTGGTCTCGTAAGCACCTCCATATGAAATTCCTCGGGTAGCCGTTATTTCGGAATGTCTCCAAGAGTCTTCGTTCTTCTTTTTCCTTCGCCTCTTTTGTGTCACCATGTGTCTCTATCCGCTTGAATAGAGTTCGAACACAGCTCCGCTTGTGACAGTTCGGATGGTTGTTGTGGTAATTCAGAATCTGGTCCGTATGCGTTTATTTCCTGTATACTTCCGTTTGTAGTTGGCCGTTTGCTGTCCTTGTTACGAGCACATCTAGGAACGCCAATTTGTTGTTCTCCTCAGTTTCCATTGTGAATTGGATATCGGGGGAAGGGGCATGGTCGTCTAACTCTAACTGAGAAAGTCCAAGTTGTCTCAGACGGTCAACTGGGATTTTTTGTTCTACTGAATGCATGTTTTCACTATCTGCAAGGAGTTAAAGACCAGACACACCTGAGATAACATTAATCCCTGGTCTTCACCATTAGGAATGGGATACCTGTCTTGCGCCCACTTAATAATCCTTAAAAAAGGGCAAAACCGGACGTGCACCATCGAAGAGTTTTGAAACTGCTGAGTAGTGCGTGTTCAAGGATGCTTGGATTCTCCTTCGGGTATCCCACATCGGTGGACCACAAACTGAGCCGTGGCTGGCGGAAAACACCAGTGGACTCTTAGAAAGTGGAAAGTACGATGTTACAAACACGTCTTAAACCAGACAACCACATATTTAATGATTTAGATGGTAATTGGGAATGCGCAAGATTCGTGTGTATATCATTCACAAAAGGCGAGGGACGCGATAAAGTTTGGTAGTAACCATCTATCTGTGGCACCATTTCGGTGCGCAGCTATAATGTAGCCAAGATGAATCGCGAGGATAAATACAATCAGATTGTTCATGTCTAGACAAGAATAACAGGGGAGCCAGGGTTGGTTATGGAGCACAAACTTGCCAAACAGTAGCCGATGAAGTATCTCGAGCCCAGTCGGGTATACGGTATGTTGGCGATTCCGTCCAGGCCGTATATGTAAGATGTCTCAAAGTTAACACATCAGTGTAAGACTGATCACAAAAAATACGCGCGCAGAAAGCTCAGCGGAAACCACATTCCCAAACGGAGAGAGTTCACATAAGTAAACGAACGATCGCCAAAATATCAAAAAACATATACGTAATAGGGGTGCATTGATCGCTTAAAATGACAGAGTGGAATAAATTGTACAAATGGTATTAATGAATACAGTGGTACAGATATCAGTAGTACAGATATCAGGTCTCCATCGGTTGTAGATAGAACCGATCAAACTGTGCCGTGAGTTGAACAGCTTGGGCGTAGAGATCGGCGTCAAACTTTTCACTCGCTTCTTTGGAAAAAAGTATTGGCTCTGCAGTGACATCCAGTTCCGTGCCTTGGGGATTACGCACGCGACCCTGAAGCTCGGCAACACAGTTTTCTGGAGACGTCTGGAAAAGTAGTACAACATGTTTCTTTTCAGAAAGTCAAAAGAACTCGTAGTCAGTTTACGCCGATGAGAGTTCATTCAGTCAGAAGATCAAGGTAATCAAACTACATATTTTTGGCTTTTATTGCATTATTGAGTGTTGGAGGATATGCATAATCGTAACCTATGTGTGAACGCTTGAGCTGAAAGTTTGTCTCGGTTAGGAACAAAAGGTGTCCAGGAAATAATCGAAGTTATTTTTCACTACTTTTATGGTGAGCGCCAACCTCGAATCGCTGGCAAGATGAGCCTCTTCTGGAAATAGTCGGCCAACCGTGACGGGCGCATCAAATGTACTTTTTACTGACAGAAGCATTTGTGACTAACCTCGTCAAGCTTAGAGCTGCCGTTCGTCGGGGCGTATGTTGATAGGAAAAACGAATACCATTTACCGTGTCCAGACCTCAACTGAGCCAATTAACCGAGGAGCACAAAGACGAACATTTACTGGAATCCCGTTCAGTAAACCGTACTCAGTAAAGAGATTAAGCACAACATTTACGGCGTAGATACCAGCAACCGTATAACGATCACCATATACCAGATTAACATACAAGGAACCTAGGTTCCCATCGAACAATGTGAAGTGGATGACCAAACGTCCGCGAAGCCGCGGTGTGTAACATGGATTTTCGTTTCACTATCCTGCACAACAGTTGAGGCATAGAGTAACTAGTAGATCGTTGACAGCTACCGAACCCTAATATTTGGAGATCGGTTTCCTGTACTGCAATGATACTGCAAGCTACACTGACTAGGCCTAAGTTCCTTACGGTTCAGCAGTGTCAGGA